TCAAAGAAATGAAGTAGATTTAGGGACTAGGTTGTCTTTAGGAAGTACACATCTCTTCCACCTGGTATAATTACTTCAGATTGAAGATTAAAGTCCTTTGAACCAAACGATGCCTTGCATATTGACATGGATGATCACCATGATGTAATTCGTAGTGGCGTAGCTGTTGATGATAAAACCACATAATCATGACCATTGAAAAACCACACGGTGATGACCTGATGACAAACAACGTTCCTTGGGACTTAGCCAAGTAACAAGTGGTGGTTTTGTTGGTATCTGTCAATTTCTGTATGTAAGCTAGACGCATGTAGAAGTAGGAAAATAAAGAAAGAAGTTAGGCTTTCTCTTTCGGATTGTTATGTTTTGAATTTTAGGGGCCTATTATGAATACAAATAGGGTAATTGCTAAACGAATAAGAATGTGGTCTGGGTAAGAGGTTCAGTAAACACCGGCTGAAAATGGTTGTTTACCAAGTGTCCAGGTAAGCTTTGACAGAAGCACTGACCGAGTCAGACAACAACCCCTCCTTCCTTGGACAACATCTTACCCAACATGTTTATCGGTCATAGTGTGTTGGTAACAGCATCCCTTCTCACCGAGTTAGCACCTCTTACCCGGTAAGAGGTGGCCAGTAGGTAGTAAATAGGCCCTGTCATTGAAAATATATGGTCAGGTCGACGGAATATGATTTATTGGGTATGAGGGACATGTATAACTTCTTTTATCAACACCATCTTAGAGGCAAAGACCTGTCATTTGACACTCGTATAGAAGAAGTTAGCTTACATTTACAAAACCTTGCGAACTTGTGATGATAGTTTAAATGCTTTCATAGTTGTGATATTGTTTATCTTAATACTGTTTCAATAGACAAATTTGTAAGCTTCCCTTGGGGAACATTCCCTTGCCAACCATATTAATATTGCTGTCTGCCTTTCACTTGTGATGACAGGTAACAAAATGGATTAATGTGTTATCTTTAAGTTCAATATTGTTTTATGTTTGTATACAGCAAGTCTGGTCTGGAAGTAGCCTCAACAAGAATAAAGGATTGGTGGACCATCTGCAGTCTTTTGGAATTATCCAATCGAAAAAAGTGGCAGAAGTAATGGAAACTGTTGACAGGGGATTGTTCGTTCCTGATGGGTCCCCAGCCTATTTAGACAGTCCCATGCAAATAGGTTTTAAGGCCACCATTTCTGCACCTCATATGCATGCTACTTGCCTTCAGTTGTTGGAGGATAATTTGCAGCCCGGGATGCATGCTTTGGATGTTGGTTCAGGTAATATCTGCACCGTTTGACGACATTAACTTCGTAGAGCATCTCCAATAGATTCTCCAAAACTTTCTCCAAAATGGAGAAAGTATGAGAGAGACGATAAAAATCTCCAAATTTGGTAAACACACTAAAATTAAATGCTGAAGAGAGAGAAGCGGTTTTTTAACCGTTCCCATCAATGAAGTTGTATATATTATCATTTCATATCAGTTTTATTTGAAAATTTTGGAGTATTAAATCTATTGAATATTTTAATAGACGGAGAATCGTGTGAAAATAGGAGTTAAGGTGAGAAGTATAAGAAGGGATTTGGACTCTTAATCACTTTTAATGTCAAAACAACCCATAAATTGCAGTTTTAAAAGGGAATTGATCTAGTGGTTCTCTTCAATTAGGATTAGGGTGAATATCCCTTCTTACCCTTCCCATCATAGCTTTCATTCTCACCGGAACCCAACCCTATTTTAATAAATATAATTAATGTTAAAGCTCCAAATTGGAAAAACAGTTGAATGTAATCGTTTTTGGAAATTTTAACTTTTGTGCATCTTTATTTTGATGAAATTATAGAGAATCTGTTGGAGATGCTCTTATTTGCTTTTAGTTAGAGATGCATAGGTAGTTCTAATGAATTCAAGCATAGTTTGTGGTTATTGCTGGAAGCAAGGAAGAAACCATATCTAAGATAGTAAAATTGTGGTTATTCTTTTGTTCAAGACTTTAGACCTTCCTATGTGAGATTCATGTTCTCAGATTCATAGATGTTCCTCTTAGGATAAATCCCTGATGAGGGATAGGGAAATCCTTCCCAAGTAATGCATAAACAAGATCAGGACTAGAGGGGTTGAACTAGTTGAAAAGCTATATGATTATACCCCCTCCGTCTCAAAATAAATGTCCACAAAATGACACAGTTTTAGGAATGTTAATTGTTACAATTTTCAATTAATCAAATGCCAATTTTACCCTTAATAACACAAAGAATTTTTTTCTCCATGTATGGGAAAGTAACATTTACTTTTTGAAAGTGGACAAATTATTTTGGGAATTGGGACAAACTACAAATAGAAATGTGGACTATTATTTTGGGACGGAGGGAGAACTATTAGTCATATCTTGCTAGAATATAGAAAAAAACAAAATTAATGATGCCTTTGGTAAAGCTAAATGTGCCAAACTTATTGCCGTCTGTGTCCCAAAATAAATGTCCACAATAAAAAGGCACATAATTCTAGAAATGTGTAATTATTGCACTTTTTAATTAAATAAATGACAATGGTACCCTTACTAATAGAGGAAGTACCGAGTTTCTCCATCTCATAATTAAGGGTAGAACTCGAAGACATAGGCACCTACTTTCGAAAGTGGACACTTGTTTTAGGATGGAGGGAGTGATATTTTTGCCATTTCCAAGACGGACAGACCGACAAGGATGCTTGTTATGGGATATACGGGTTAATAGGTTTGCTTCAATCCAACTTTCTCTCAAGTAAGTTGTTTTTGAGGTTGTGAAATCCAAAATAAATGTCCTAAATAAAAAAGGCACAGTTTAAAAATATGTAATTATTACACTTTTTAAATAACTAAATGACAACTTTACCCTTAATAATAGCGTGAGTAATGAATTTCTCCTTCTCATAATTAAGGAGAATTGGAAAATAGACACTTCGGCCTTGTTTATTTTAAAAAAAAACTCTTATCAGCCACTTATGTTTGAATCACTAAGGTGTAGTGCCATTCAGACTGTTTGTTTTTTCCAAATTTTTAGAGGCACTTATGGCTTATTGTCCTCTTATCTGGTAAGAGGTAAACCAACCTCTTATTTGCCTCTTATTGTCCTCCAGACTCTCAACAGCGGGTGTTTCTCAATCACTCCTCTCTCAATTGATAACCTTAAAATTGATAAATATATATAAATTCAGCATTCTAATATTTCAAGGGTAAAATAGATAATTATACAGATTTAGACGTCTACCAGTTACACAAACAAACAGTCTTTTTGATTCGATTTCAGACTTCAGCCCCAAAAATAAGACTTCAGTCTTTAACACCTCTTAAAAAGCAAACACCACCTTACACTTATTTTGGCACGCACTAAAATAGAAATGTGAATTTTGGAGCAGAGGGAGTATGAAAGTATGCTTTAGATTCAGATTTAATAAACATACAAGGATGAGTCAAGTTGCTCAATTTGGATTCGTCTCTTGACATTAGCACTTTTTCCCGTGATTTCTTCAAGTCTTGTGGGTGAGTTTTGGAAGTTATTCATCTTGTACAGGAACTGGGTACTTGACTGCATGCTTTGCACTTATGGTCGGATCACACGGTCGCACAATTGGCGTGGAACATATTCCCGAGCTGGTTTCGACATCGATCAAGAACATTGAAAAAACTGCAGCTGCTCCATTACTCAAAGATGGCTCTCTTGCATTGCATGTTGGTGGTAAGTCATCACACTTAATAGCTCTCTTTAAACCAGACCAAACAAACGAGCCTAGTATATCCCACCCCGGAGGTGGGGTCAAGGGACTGTAAGATATACACATACCTGACCTCTGCTGTAAAGAGTAGAGCAACACCCCTGACTTATGAAAAGTACGTGAACAAGATTTTGAAAAGCTCGGTATAAGCAATAACAATACAAATAGAAACACCAAACTACCGACCCAATAACCCTAACCCACACTTCCCGTCTTAGAACATCTATAATGGAGGTTCTTGTTAAGGTTCCTATATATTTTATAATAATTAATTTATATTTTCTTGTACCAATTTTAACTTATATGTTTTATAGATTTATTAAAACAAAATAGGATGGTTAAAAAACAACAAAAAATTAATAAAAAAAGAAATGCAGACAAGAACTCGAGTTCTTTTTTTTTTTTTTTGGGAAAAAGAGAACCTAATTTCTTGTTCAAGAACCTGGGTTCTTATTAGAATCTGTGATTGGACAAGAATGTGTGTCCCACAGTAAAGGTTCTTACCCCAAGAGGAATCTCAACAAGAACTTTCATTGTATATGCACTTAGGGGCTGTTTACCAAACACTTACCCGGTAATTAAGCACCCAACGGTAAAATTCAGCACTATCATTTACTTACCGGGTAAGATTTTAGTCAACAAAAACGGCTTTCTATGCAACAATTTACCCGGTAAGAGCTGACCGTGGTAAGAGTCATTGCCCTCACTTACCGGGTAAGACTCTCGGTCCTTGCCTTGCTCTTATCGGGTAAGATTCTTGGTCTTTGTCATGTTCATCCGGTAAGATAATGTAACTTGGTAAGTGCTTACCCGAGTAAGCATTTGGTAACTTTCTTTTTAGCTAGTTATATAAATTTTCAGGTTTGAAATTTTGAATGTGGATGATGACAGATGGTAGAAAAGGGTGGCCGGAATATGCACCATATGATGCTATTCATGTTGGGGCAGCTGCACCGGAGATACCACAACCACTTATTGATCAGTTGAAGCCTGGGGGTAGGTTGGTAATTCCGGTGGGGACGATATCACAGGACTTGAAAGTTGTGGATAAGAATCTGGATGGTTCCGTCACCATTCGTAGCGAGACTTCAGTTCGTTACGTGCCTCTTACCGATCGAGAAACTCAGTTGCGAGGCTACTAATGTTTACGGTAACGCTCGGCGACTGCTTTTGTGCATATGTATGTAAAAAGACGAATAAGGATCAATCACAGTCGCATTTGCACGTATTCCGTTTGCTCGTGTCGGATATCAAATTTGCATAATTTATTTAATATATCATCAATTTTTCATTTCATGTAGATACTCAAAAAAGCACAAGCTTGAAGACCGGTCTAGGCCAGACCCAAATTTTAAGATACGCTCGGGCCTAGACCGGTTCTTTTTCAACCCCAATGCTTGGCCAAAAAGGCCGGTTTTTGTTTTGCTCATTGAAAACGAGCTTAAAAGGCTTGGGCCGAGGCCTGAAAAAGCATGGGCTATATTTGAGCTTAGAAATGATGGATCATCTTCGCTTATAGGGTTATATCAATAGCATATGACATTTATATACGGACCTATTTAACCTGTGGTTTGAAGATTTTACAACTTGATTATACAATCAAGTGGTTTAAGTTGAGTTGGCTAAATTGATCGAGTTTTTACACACCCTTGACGGACTCTTTAAACCATTTCCTTGGTTTTCAATGTTAAAACGCTTTTCTCCTTTTCGTCCATGTTCGATTTGTTTAAAACCAACTTAATTAGCTTAACGACTTATTCATTTAGTCATAATGTTAAACCATACCTTACCTGTTTCTTAGGGATGGTTTGTTTACCTATTAATAGTTCCATTAAGAGACAGCTTCTGAATTGCTAAGAAGCAAAATCTTGTTTGGCAAAAAAAATCCACCTCTTAATGGTTCTAAAACCCTCTGAATAGTTCTAAGAGCCTCTTAATCATTTTACACCAAACATTCAGCAACTGCCAAACAACAAACGGTCCATTAATAGCCACAACATAGCTACGATGGTTTATTGTAAATGGCAATGGCAAATCACAATTGTTGCACACAATAATCATAAAAGAGAAGCCTTTTATACCCCATAAATTGCCTTCCAAATTTGCAGTCAACCCCCATCAACTCAATAGCTTTAGCATCCAACATAAATTCCTAAATAGAAAACTTACAAACTTACATCAATAATATAAATACCAAATGAAACCAAACCTCCTCCTTCATCTCACTCAAAAATCCAATCAGAAACGCCTCGGCTTTTCCTCCGCTACGTTTACTCTGATCGCTCTCCCGCCCATGCTCTGTTACAAAACAACCGTTATAGATATCTTTCAAACCGGAAAAAGACTGAACACCAGTAGCGTTTCAATGAGCTAGCTTATGTCATCCAAACAGGGCTTTTTCAAATAAGCTGGCTTATCGTTGCCAAATCTAGCAAGAATCACCAAAGGGTCATTGACCCAATGCTACCTACCCGGGTCACTGGAAGATCAAGGGTTCAAACCTCATCAAAGATGGACAGTATGCCGTACGTAAGTATTTGCCCTATATGTATAATATACTTTCCCTCCGTCCAAAAATAAATGTACACGATGAAAAAGACACATTTTTTGAAGTATGTAATTATTACGCTTTTTAATTAACTAAATGACAATTTTACCCTTAATAATTGAAAGGATAGTGTACTTTTTCATCTCATAATTAATGGTAAAATTGGAAAGTATGCGCTTACTTTTGAAAGTGGACATTTAGGGGTCGTTTACTAAATGCTTGTCAGGTAAGTGCTTACCAGCAAAGACACATCACCCTCACTTATCTTATCATGTACATTATCGGCCATCAAAATGGATTAATAGTTGGTAGGCATCAGAAACCCGGCAAGCGCTTACCGGGTAAAAATCTTTTCTTTCACTTACCGGGTAAGACGTCGGTTCTTGCCATGCCTCTTACCAGGTAGATTCTTGATGATTTCAATGCTCAATCGATAAAGTGATATCGGTACAGTAAGTGCTTAGTAAATGACCCCTTACTTTGGGACGGAGGGAATACTTGAAAAGTGTAGCAAGAATTTAAGGTACCTGTCCATCAAGATTTTCGATGGCGTCATTGACTTCGCTTTCAGATGACATGGTCACAAACCCAAAGCCTCGTGATCGACCACTATCCCTGTCGTAAACGACACGTGCATTCACAACCTTCCCGTGTTCGCTGAAAAGCTGCTCAAGTCTAACGTCATCAACGTCCCACGGCAGGTTGCCAACATAGATTCTGTATGATGGTCCGGTCATCTGAGGTGTGCGTTCGGGCCTTGATCCTTTTGGTGCAGCCTTGTTTACGGTCAAAAACCGTCCCCCTAGTTCCTGTTTCAAATACAACATGATTTTGTTAGAATTATTCAACTAATCATCATCCGACTCACATGGGTCTCGTTTATATTGCACCATAAGAAAATGTTGCCTCCATCTAAAAATAAACGTCCACGATAAAAAAGACACAGTTTTAGAAATGTGTAATTCTTACGCTTTTTGATCATCCTAATGACAATATTACCCTTAATAATAGAGAGAGTAATGATCCTTTTCATCTCATAATTAAGGGTAAAATTGGAAAGCAGACACTTTTAAATGTTGACGCTTATATTGGGACAAAATAAAATAAAAATGTGGACGCTTATTTTGGAACAAAGAGAGCAAACAACTCGAGAGCTCAACCACAAAGTGCTGTTGGTTAGCACCACTGTCACCCGCAGGTCAATATAGTCAAAGATGAATTAAACCAACTTCATTCCATTCATGTAGTGACGAAAAAATCTAAGCTTTTTAAATCTTTAACGGGATTGGAAAGCTCATCGCAGCTAGAAAGAGATTCTTGAGTACCGAAGCTTGCAAACAGATCATAATGATACACAACTAGTCTTCAAGGACGTGGGACCAGGACAGGACAGTACAAAAACTTATTCTATCCCACCAAAAATGGTGGAACAAAAACAAGGGAGATACGATAAGATTGGTAAAATACTAAATTACACATATCAGATTAAAACCCTAAAACTTGTCTAGTCATGTCTGCATACCAAACGCACCCATAAGGTTCAGGGTCCAAACTCCTATCTAACGGTGCCCTTTCTGGTATGCATAAATCATGCGAATTTCCTTTTCACTGCAACCCCATGTTACTCTCGGCTAACCTCTATCTCTCTTCAAGATTTCTTCTTGGTATGAATCCCCTTTTCCCTCTATTTCATTTCCAAATCTATATTGCAAATGACCAAATCACAACAAATCGCTTTGATAAGATTATGGATTTGCTCCTAGACATGGTTTGTATGATCGTTAACTTCAGGGCCCACATGGGATTATTTGAGGTGCACACAAACTGGCTTGGAAACCCATGGTTACCAAATAGTTTTGCCTTATTTTATCCTCAACTAGTGCCACCCTAGTGATCGTTGCTCGGTTTATGGCCACCATCTATTTCAAGATTCGCATTCCGCTACATATCTTCTAGTTTTCTCAACATTCTACCCTGAAAACCATAGCAAATCTTGCCACCACCCTACTGAACTTACCCTTCAACTTCAATGAAACATTTCCATGATACAACCACCTATAAAATTGGATTGAATATAAATCCATATCCAACCATTGGGAACCACAGAATTAACACCAACCCATAACTAAACTGTTTGCTAGCAGCTTAATGAGCTTAATGAGACTCGCAACTTATTCCATTATTCGCACAGCTATACGTGATATTTGGAAGTGGCTTAATGATATAGAAAGTGAGTTATTCAATAAGTTTCTATGTGGGAGCTTTAAGCAGAAAACCAAGTTTTTTTGAAACATGCCCCTCCCAATTAGGAAAACGCTCATTCCATCTATGAAATAAACATCTCAAACAAAAGCTTTTTCCACACATACAACTTTATCCATAAATGACTTAATCCATACAGGACTTAATGGAAAACCAACCAAACAACCACTTAGACATAATCAATCACAAATTTACCATAATTTCATGATATATCTTCACCATACCCATAATAAATCACAATGTTTGAAGCAATGCAAGGATTGTAAAAGCATATAATAAGACAATTTTGCAGCCAAACTGTAAGAAATTTCTTGCAGAAACTTACATAACGATGAAGCATTTCAACAGCCTTCTCTGCTTCTTCAACAGTACTCATAGTCACAAACCCAAAACCCCTACTCTGATCAGTCTCTCTATTGTAGATAACCTAATTCAGCAATAAGAAACCCAGTTTCAATCGAGGTTCATAATTCAAAATCGATACAAAAATTCCAAACGAAAACGCAAAAGAATCGATAGAATTACCTCAGAGATCTCAACAACACCAGCTTGTTGGAAAAGCTGAGCCAATTGTTCACTATCCACATCATAGGGCAGATTACCCACGAAAATCTTCGCATCTTCCGGTGGCTCAGAATACTCCTCCGTCTCTCCGGTGCCGGAGTCTCCAGACGCACTCCTTTCCCAACCGGACACGCCGGTATCGGCAGCCGTTTCCGTTTCCGTTTCCGTTTCCGTTTCCGTTTCCGTTTCCTGAGTTTCATTTCCCCAGCTTAAATCTCCACTTTGCTCTTCCTCCTCTTGAATAACCAATGTGTTGTCTTCTTCTTGTTGGGAGGCAACAAAGGTGACGAAACGCGATGAATTGGGTTTTCTTCGCAGAGAAAAGGATGTAAAAGAAGCAGATAGGTGGATTTTAATGGGTTTGAGGGGTAAAGAGATGTGTTGATGGGTTTTTCCGGCGAAGATTGAGGAAGACGATAGAAGGCATGCGTTGGCCATGGATAAAGGCTTGGAAATGGGTTTTGCCGCACAAGCCATAGTTGCAGAGAAGGGTTTAGAGGAGGAGAGGAAGATAAGGGTGGGTGATGATGTTATCGGTTGGTATAATATTTTGGGGTTCAAGGTTTTCATGGTCCAAAATGGGCCTTATTTGGGCCTCTTGAGTGGGCCTTGCCATATAAACTATTTATGATTTAACTTTTTATTATAATTTTATGTATAAATTTGCGGGAAAAGTTGATTACTGGTAATCTTAATCGGGCTTCTACAGAACTTGTCTCTGAGAAAACCGATGTGAGAGCGCATTTTTTTGGCTCACTCAGTACCTCAGTGGTTGAGATTACTGAGGGATCAAACGCGAAACCTAGCTTGTATTTAGACAGAGTCACCTGGTCCATTTGTCAACTGAGCTACCCCACCTCCTATACTCATGTCAAGAACCTCACTAGTTTGATAAGGCAAGATTTTATTTCGTTCGTACAGTTCTAACATTTGGTTGCTAACCTCTACAATAAATAAATACCAGAATCTTCCAATTCTATGGTTCTTGGTAAACTGTGGTATTTATTTATTGCAAATATAAGCAACCATAATTTAAAATATCGTCGTCTCAAAGTAGGGAGGTTCTTCATGGAAGTACAATAGGCGGGGTTACTCAAAAGACGAGCTCACGTTATCGACGAAGAATATGCCACAAGCGGCAATGATTCTTATGTTGGTGTCGTCACGTTCATATTTGGAATCTCAAATCCTACATCATCAAGGTCCACTCTTGATGAAGATAAACAAACAGGGTTGGTGCAGTGGGCAATAGTCTTGGTTAGTTAGTTTTGTTGGTTAGACTAACCGTTAAGAGTTAGAGAGAGAATACTGCATTGAATTGATAGCATTGTATTGAGAGAATTGAATGAAAAACGTGAGACACCTGATAAATTCAATTCTACATATCTTGTAATCTTGTGTTCTTAATTGAATGTGATTTGACTGACATCTACAGGTTTTCAGTCGCTGTCGGAGGTGAAGGAGAATTTTCTTTTTAAAAAATGTAATATATATACACTCAGTACAATAATTCTTTAGGTGATGATGTTCTTGATTGGTATAATATTTTGGGGGTCAAGGTTTTCATGGCCCTTAGCTTTGCAAAATAAAACATTATTTGTGTCTAGAGATTAGAGATGGCCAAATCGGCCCGGCCCGGCTCGGGACCGGGACTGACAAAGGACCGGTCCGGGACCGGGACCGGGACCGGTAAGTACCGGTTATGGGACCGAACACCGGGACCGGTTGAGGTTTTTGGTAGTTTCGTGGGACCGGCCATAACCGGGACCGGTCCCAAATACAAATATTCTAAGTGTATTTGATTGACCTAATTATATATTTTATAGTGTATTAGAATAACATTAAAGTATTTTAAAAAATTTATCAAAAGGAAATTTTAAAAATATAAAAAGAAAATGTTTTTTTTAATATATGACCGATTTGATCCCGATCCATGACCGGTTACCGTAACTGATTACAAGTACCCTTAACCGGACCTTTGTATTTTTGACAGGACCGGGACCGGTCCAGATTGTTACTATTTCAGCTCAGGACTGATTTGGACCCGGCTTGATCCGAGACCAATTTTTGGCCATGTCTGTTTGTGTCTAACTTTATAATGCTTAAATTATTACAACAATATTATTTATTAGGAAAATTTGAGTTTATATATATATATATATATATATATATATATATATATATATTACGAAAGAGCATTTGACATAACGGTATCATATTGTTATCTTTTCTAATTTGAACCTTCGATCTTCCTTTCATTAGTGTTATCTTTCTGATCCAAACCTTCGACTTCGTAGGATGGAAAGATCAAGAAGCATATTTAGGGGTATTTTTTTATCATTCGGAAAAAGATGTCATCGCATTTGAAACCACATTTCATTTGTAAGTTGTTTCATAGAAAATGCATCACTACTAGAAAAACAAGTATCAGCGACGAACATCAGCGAGGGAAAATATCCCTCGCAGATCAGCGAGGGAAATCCCAAAAAACTAAATCCCTCGCTATTCCCTCGCTGATCTGCGAGGGAAACCTTCCGTCGCTGATCCCTCGCTGATCTGCGAGGGATCAGCGAGGGAATTGCCAAAAAACTCATTCCCTCGCTGATACCTCGCTGATCTGCGAGGGATCAGCGACGTAAAGTTCCCCTCACAGATCAGCGAGGGAATAGCGAGGGATTTAGTTTTTTGGGATTTCTCTCGCTGATCCTTCGCTGATCTGCGAGGGAAATACCAAAAAAAACTTTCCCTCGCTGATCCCTTGCTAATTTGCGAGGGAAATTTCTTCTACAAAATCCCTCGCTGATCCCTCGCAAATCAGCGAGGGATCAGCGATGGATTTTTCTATTTTTCCTATTTTCTCATTTTTTTATGTGTTATATGTACATATTTTTATATGTTGATATCGTATGTATGCATGTCATGTGTTGTTTGTGTGTATGTATGTATATATATATATATATATATATATATATATATTGTGGTTGCTAACCGCAATATATGCATGTGTTATAAGTATATATACCCGTCGTGAGGGAAAATGATATACATTCACATATACATATACGTTTAAACATATATTCATTCATCGAATTATCGGAGCATTTTGCTACGTTTATGCGGCAGTCAGGATACGTTTTCCCACCTCCCCCAAATCCCGATAGTTAGATTTTATGTATTCGAAGATTAAATTGTATGAATTTGAATATTTTAAATTGTATGAATCCATATTTTAAATGGTATGAATTGGTTACTTTTGTTCACAGATTTGGTTTGTTATATATTATTATTTTCAGGTTTTTTAAAAATAAATACAGGATTTATGTATTTTTAAATTTTTTTTTTAAAGATTAGCGACGGATTTGCGAGGGAAAATCTGTCGCTGAAAGTGCTTGAATTTCCCTCGCAAATCCGTCGCTGAAAGTTCCATCGCAAATCCGTCGTTGATAATTCCCTCGCAAATCCGTCGCTGATAATTCCCTCGCAAATCCGTCGCTGATCCGTCGGTAAGTACATCCCTCGCTGATCCGTCGCTGAAAGTGTCCGTTGCAAATCCGTCGCTGATTTCCGTCGCTGATTCGTCGCTGATAGCATTACCTACGACTGTTTGACCGACGGAGTATCAGCAACGGATCAGCGACGGACAACCCTTTCAGCGACGGATCAGCGAGGGAAATTTCCCTCGCTGATACCCAGCATTTTTGTAGTGCATTGTTTATAGCGTCTTGTTTCCCATACGTCAATGTCTGTATTCATATATGAATAAAACAACGTTTCACAAGTAAAACAACGTTGCATTTTTACATGCAACACATGAAAACCCGTTCATAAGTTTATATAAATTACTGGATCCGGACAAAAAGGGACTCTCCTTACAAATTTTCAATGGAGATGCCTTTCCTTTTCTTTTTTCTCTTTAAATGCCCTCATTCATATGTGAATAAAAAATGGTTGCCAATTCCAACAGGTATTTTTGTTTCCTCAAGTGGAATAAAAAAAGGCAAAATCAAGATTAAAGAATCAAAAAAGGTCAAAATCATAGACCTATTTTGGTCATTAAATTCGTTCGCTCGCCAAACTTCCACCATAAAAATGCATTCATAATGATTCAAGAAATCTTGAATCTTGTTGATGATCGATGATGGAGGATTCAGAAAATGGCACCAGTGGCAGTGGCTCACTCTCTGTTGAACCCACAGGTCCAGAAAGCGATCCACCATCGGCTCACACTATCGACCATGGTCAGGTTCACTTAGCCACCCACACACCTGGTTCTTGTTTTATTTCTTCCATGTGGGTTTGGTTCATTGAAGACTAATTAACCATGCACATGTGTTAGTTAATATTGCAGACTCATGGTTCCAACTAAGGGTTGCTGTTAGTGACCAGTTTCAAGAAAACATAGCAAAAAGAATACAGTTTGCAAGAACAAGCGATTCCTGATAAAGTGTCGAGCACGATAATTCTACTTCTGCGTTCGTATTTCCATAACTTACCGATAATCGTTCGTTCTTGCAAATGATTGAAGTTTGTTTTGCCATTTAATTATATGGGAATTATTCTTGTTTTTTTGCTAGAAAAGATTACAATTATTGAACTTTTTATGTGTACTTACCTTATTAGGAAACCTTTGATCTTCAAAACTTCGGTACAATATTATTCCATCTGTTCATATTTCTATTTTAGTTTGTACTAAAAACCAGTATCCTCTTTTAAAAGTAAATAATAAATTATGAGATGAAAAAATTCGTTACCTCATCTATTATTAAAAATAAAATTGACATTTAACTGATTAAAAAGTGTAAATAATCACACATTTCTAGAACCTGTGCATTTTTTCACTGTGAAATTTATTTTGGGACGAAGAGAGCAGAAATTAATCACCCTCGGTTACAGTTTCGTGGTCCTTCAAAGAAAATGCTAAAAATGGTTGGCTCAAAATCAAAATCAAAATCAAAATCATCTGTACCCAATGTCCCACCAATCATGTGAATACACATCATTATGTTATTTAATATAAATTTATTTTGTCTCCTCATCAAAACGATAATGTTGCTTTATGTGATTGATGATCAAGGAGACAAAGAACTTGAGTTTGGGGATAACACTTTTTATCCGAAAGAAAGGCCTTAACTTCAATAATGAAAATATATTATCCCAAAATTCATTGTCCCCTTCATATCCTATCAATCAGGTAAAGACATATCATTATTTTTATGTACACTAACTTTATTTAATTCATACTTATCTTCTTTCTCTAATGATATATATATATATATATATATATATATATATATATATATATATATATATATATCATCGCATTTGTACAACCAATGCAACCTTTGTGGTAACCGTGAGATCCAATCTCAATCACAAATTAATAGATAAATTAAGAAATTTATAATTTTGGTAATTTTGAATTAAATTTTAATGCAAAGATATTTTAGGTATTTTCTCTCCTCTCTCCTCTCTTATTTCTCCGTCCCTCATCCTCCGGCCTTCGGTCATCGTCCTTTGGTGATATCCCTGTGATACCTAAAAATATTGACTCGGTTAAAAAAAGACACGTTGTGATACCCAAACACATATGAGATGCATTGTGATATCACTGTGTTACATCTCCGATCGACCACACAAACGACCTCAGTGTGTTACCCAAACACATATAAGATGCATTGTGATACCACTGATCACTTGAGGACGGTGGCCGGAGGCCGGAGAACGGAGGACAGAGAGAGAAGAGAGGAGAGTCTTAAAATACATAAAATGTCCTTGCATTAAAATTTTAATTCAAAATTATCAAAATTATAAATTTTCTAATTTATCTATTGATTTGTGGTTAAGATTGCACCTTACGGTTATCACAAACTAATTAGTTCTTATTTGATTAGACCCCTATATATATATATATATATATATATAGAGAGAGAGAGAGAGAGAGAGAGGGCTTTCTTTCCGTATTAAACAATTTCATGAAAATTTTCACTAAAATAAACAATGAAATCAACAATTGTTACAGTTTCTATAAATAGCTTGGTTTGCTATCCTTCCTCTATAATATATATATATATATATATATATATATATATATAGCCTTCTTTCCATATTCAGCAACCCTCTCTCTCTTTCCATATTCCCATTTTATATTATCAAAACTAACATTTGATGCTACAAACACCTTGTAAACAATGAGTATCTGTTCGTATTACCAAAAAAATATCAAAGAACACTCTGGTAACCGTTTATATGTACCATATCCACTACATACGTATAATTTGTAGCGAAGATTTTTTGAATTTTTGGGATCACATATTCTATTACTAAAGGCTCCCTATCTATCCTTACCCCCACCAACACCCAACCTCAAAAATGGAGAGTTTTCTAGCTTTCTTGAATTCTACAAATACCTCACCAGTTGCTGCATGACTCATTTCTGTAAATGTATGTAGAGCCAAAAATGGAACCAAATGTGGTAAACATCACTACTATCACCACCATGCAATGATAATATTTCTACCAACAGAAATGCTGCAACTATACCCAACCATTTGAACCCAACAAACCCTAGCAGCAGCCATGGATCCTTTGAAAATGGAACCAGAACCCAATGGAAACATAGAAGCTTTAAGTATCACAGCTGGTGCACCAAAAGCTGGTCTAGTTTCTGCTCACACCATTGACCATGGTCTGTTGATCAACACCCATCTAAACCCACTTCAAGTTTCTTTCCATTTTTCTTTTCATTTTTTCACAAAAGTTTGAAACTTTTTCTATTTGAAACTGTAGATTCTTGGAGGCAAGTTGGGTTGCTGCTTGTAACAGGTTACAGTTGTGGGTATATCTTGAGCTTTTCAAATCTAATGCTGGTGCCTCTTGGTTGGATTTGGGGGATCATCAGCTTGATCATGGTGGCAGGTTTTAGTGCATATTCTAGCTGGCTTTTGGCAGGGTTTCACTTTGTAAATGGCCAAAGGTTCCTTAGATACAGAGATCTTATGGGCTCTCTTTTTGGCAAGTTTCGTTTTTCTATACATCTATGAAACGCCCGTTTGGTTTGACGTAATGTTTTTTGAGGCATGTTTGATGAAAGAGGCGGGGTAGAGATACGATAGAAACAATTGAAATCCATGGATTTGGATTTGAAACGACGGTCGTTTTCTAGAGATCTCTAAATACGTCAGTCGTGGGAGTTTATTGAAATCCCGGGATCTCAAGATCCAAACTTTTCTTTAAACCAAAAGCGGGATTGCAATGGATTTCTGGTCCAAATCCCGCAAACCAAACGGGTCCTAACTTTCATTCCCGTGGTGAAAAATCCGAAAACCCATGAAAATCTCACTGGTTTTCTTTCATTTGTAGGAAAAGAAATGTTCTATTTCACTTGGGTTTCTCAAATCTTGATCCTCCTTCTTACGAATATGGGGTTCATACTTCTTGGAGGGAAGGCGTTAAAGGTATGATCTTTAGTATCTCGTGTCGTTTTCGCTCATAGATTTATGTTCGATTCGGTTTTTGGTTTATATCTAATGTTTTAAGAGCAGGAAATCAGTTCAGAACTTGGTGGATCTCCTATAAGACTCCAATATTATATAATCATCACGGGTGTCGCCTACTTTGTGTTTTCGATATTAGTCCCGACGATATCTTCGATGGGGAAGTGGTTGATCGTGTCATCGGTTCTCACGTTTTCTTATATCGCGATTCTTCTGGTAGTTGTAATCAAGGATGGTAAGTAGTTCATATAATATAATCGCTATAACAAAATCAGCTTTATAAGACATTACATATGTCTAAATGTCATAATAGACCGCTTCACAGGACCAAACATTTGTACATGTTATATATAAAAGTGTTACAATAAGTTGATATGACGTTTTTGCGCGTTTTGTAGGACCTTTTTGAAATATATACATCGTCTTATTAGCCCATCATTATTTGAAAAAATGTCTTATGCATTTTATAGGATCGAAATCTAACAGAGTTATCGACTATGAAACTAGAGGAACCAGTGCTTCCAAGATCTTTAACGGCTTATGTGCGATATCAGCCATCGTCACTTGCAACTCGGCTGGCATTATACCCGAGATACAGGTGAAGAACTTACGTAAACTAATCGAAAATCCGATAATTTTCTTTCACGATGATGATTTCAGCATAAAAGTTACGGGTTTTGAACTATCATATACTAGTCGTTTGTCGCAAAAAACCAATCTCGACGCGGAAATGCCAAAAGAACACCGCAATTTGCAAGAAATCTTGGAGACCAACAAGTATGATGATTCAAAAATAGAAAATTCGGGTCGTTTGGTTAAATCACCTTCTGTCAAGTTCTCTTTAAATCGATGATCTTTTGACAAATTTGAGAATGTCCACTACAACAAAATCGGGTTTATAGGACACTCTCAATTTCTAAGCGTCCTAATAAACCACTTTATAGGACTTAGTTTATAGGACCAAAAAAATAAAGTGTTCTATCTAAAGACGTTGTAATAAGTTTATATGACATTTTTTTAAGTCGTAATAAGTTTTTTAGGACACTTTTCATATAAAGTGTCACATTAGCAACTTTATAGGACATTATTTGAAAAACTGTCATATAAAAACAAGTGTCCTATAAAAAATTGAGTTTATAGGACACTTTCTCAAAAGTGTCCTATAAAGTTTCTAATGCGACACTTTGTATTAAAAATGTCCTAAAAAACTTGTTAAGACGCCCAAAAGTGTCATATAAACTTATTACAATACCTTTAGATAAGACGCTTTATATTTTGGTCCTATAAATTAGGTCCTATAAAACGGTCTATTGGCACGCTTAGAGATTGGGGGAGTCCTATAAACCCAACTTTGTTGTAGTGGTCACTGCATATCAGAAGGCCTAAAATACTAAAAGTCATGGATTTTGAAAAGCATTTGTCGGGAGTTCATTTAGCTAAATAACCCGAAAAAATTCTTGCAAACTAGGATGGTTTTGGCATTTTTACGAGACGAATGGGTGATTTGCAATGAAACGTTAAGTGGGATGGTTCAAAAATCGATCGATCATTCTAAGTACTAATGATGTATTTCACGCATTGTAGTCGACTTTGCGCATGCCGGCTGTTGAAAACATGAGGAAAGCTTTGCATCTACAATTTAGTGTCGGTTTAGCATTCTATTACGGTGTGAGCGTAGCCGGATACTGGGCGTACGGTTCATCGGTCTCTGCATATCTTCCTGAGGACTTAAGTGGACCGAGATGGGCTAAGATCCTCATAAACTCGATCGTTTTCACACAATCCATAATTTCTCAACATGTAGGATCCATCATCTTTTAGTGCTTTATAGGACGTCAAATATGTCTAAATGTCTTAATAGACTCTTTTATAGGACTTGCGTTTACAGAACCAAACAATTGTGCGTCATAAGTTGATAAAACGTTTTTAGGTGTCCTACCAAGTTTTTAGGACATTTTTGAAATAAAGCGTCGTATTAGTTTTTTTATATGACATTATATATTTAGAATGTCTTCTAAAAAGCGAATATGACAACTTATTTCAAAAATGTCTTAAAAAACTTGTTATCAAGCCCAAAAACGTCTTGTCGGCTTATTGTAGCATCTTTACGTCTGACACAATTGTTTGGTCTATAAACTTAAATTCTACGAAGTCGTGTATCAGATACGACATTCAGACATATTTAGCGTACAATAAATTCGATTTTGTTGTAGCATTTCGTTCCTGAACTTTGTGGTTGATCGTTAGTAATATCTAGTTTTCGATTGGGGAATCCAGGCGTTTATCGCACCAGTTCATGAGGCGCTCGATACCAAGTTCCTGAAACTCGACAAAGGCATACATTCTAGAGAAAACATCAAATGTCTGCTGTTCCTGAGGGCGGCCCTCTTTACCGTCAGCACGCTCGTGGCAGCAGCGCTGCCGTTCATGGGAGATTTCGTGAACTTGCTAGGATCGTTTTTACTCACCCCTCTGACCTTCGTGTTCCCCAGCATGATCTTTATCAAGGTCAGCCGACAATCATACTAACGAGTTTGATTTCTATCTGTTTAGGATATGTGGAACTCAAACACGCCCCCTCCTGAGGGCTAGATATGGGCACAAATTGTCCAATGTCGAGTCACTAGAATGGTACACTTTGGCTCTTATACCATGTTAAAATATGTAGAACCCATTAGATTACTCTCTAAAAAAGACATTGAGAAAAGATGGAGGTCCAGTATATGCCTGGCTTTATAGCTTATTCGGTCAACAATACATGACATGACTGTTTGATATTAATTATATAAAAAGTGACTTATTCAGTAAGTTTACAGGGGAAGTCTTATGCAGAAAGCCAACATGTCAGTTTCAATTAAAAAACACGCTTCTTCCATCTATGAAGAAACCCCCAAACAAAAACCTTCCCGATCCATATAGACAGGATAATCCACATGGAACTCAATGGAAAATCAACGAAACAATCCAAACCAAAGTGGGACTAACGATATCGATTCTTTAACTTTCAGGTGAAGGGAGAAAAGGCGAAGATGGAGAAGATCTGGCATTGGGCAATTATCGTTGTATTCGTTCTTCTGACCGTGGCAACTACGATCGCTGCGGTTCGATTGATTGTAAACAATGTTGCAAAGTACTATTTGTTTGCAGACACATGATCATATGATCAGTTGCACACAAGAATTAAGCTTCAGATTTATAATTAGAAGATTAATCAACACTTTGCAGACACATGTCTATGAAGATATATGGATTCTAGTGTTCTTATATGATCATGCATGTCATTTGGTAATTCGAATTCAATAAACTACACGGTGTTCTCTCAGTTCTATAGAACGTATTCGATATACGTAAGATATGTGAAACCCTATCAGATCACTACTAAAAGGAGCTCTTGAAGAGAGATGAGAGGTTTAACATATATAGAGAAGAAAGAGACCGTCTCTAGCCTCTCTAATGAAGAGAGAACGGTGGCCGGAAGCCGGAAGACGGGGACGAGGACGGATAGATGATAAAATACCTAAAATATCATTGCATTAAAATTTTAATTAAAAAAATACTAAAATTATAAATTTTCTAATTTATCTATTGATTTGTGGTTGAGATTGGATCTTACGGTTACCACAAATTAATCAGTTCTTCTTTGAATGAGCCCATATATATATATATATATATATATATATATATATATATATATAGGGGAGCGATCAAATGCAAACCACTTAATTTGTACAAACTGTGCAAACCGCATTCAACCAATCATAATTTTTCATTTTGTTCATTTTTTTGTAATTATGA